ATCCTGCTTATTTAATTTTGTTATATATGCTACGGAATAAAAGGAACGTAAATCGGAAGCAGATGACTTTACATTAATAATATTTAATCTGAACTCATAATTCTGATTAAATTGAAGTGAATACTGTAGATAATCAAAGTAATGGAGTGGAAAACTTCGCAACCTTCTTTCGAGAAACTGATGACCGGAACTGAAATAAGTAACTACTCGGCTTAAAGAAATCTATTTGTTCTACTCTCTTCAGTAACCGATATTACGAACGAAGATTTCCTTATTACGAGAATCAGTCAGTATTTAATGTAAATATTGCCGCTTAAACTACTACACATCTTAAAAAAAAGTCACTTCTTAATGTGTCAGCTAGTGAACTAGCGTTCTGGTTATTAAAATATCGGTTTACCTATTTTACTCTCTATCAGTTCAACCATAGACAGGAATCATTTACTACGGATCTTGGCATCATTACATAATATAGAAAGATTGGCAAATAGTAAAACAAATAAATGGAGATGTCTATATATGCAAATATATATATGGTTTTGTTTAGGCATTCATACACATATGATATATATGTGCAACATATATCTGTGTGCATATATGTACGTGAGCGCGCGCGCGTGTGTTACACAGAAAAAATATTTATATATAGAGACGCTTTAAAATACATAGGTACATAGCTTGTAGATGTGTGTATATAAAGAGTGATCTACATGAATGTACATACCTATATGGATATACATATATACATGTGTGTATCTATAAGAATATATACATGTACATATTGTATATGCTTATATATATAGAATATACATGTCTATACATATGCACCTAATTATATATACATACATACATACATACATACACACACACACACACACACACACAACACACACACACACACATATCACATATATATATATATATTATATATATATATATATATATATATATACATATATATACATACACATGTGTTGCGTAACACCATGTGTTTATGTTATACACACACACACAGACAGTGATATATATATATATACATGCATACAAATATTATGTATGTGCGTTCATACATATGTGCATATGTATATGCACATATATATATATACATACACTATATATTATATATAATATATATATATGTATTGTGTGTGTGTGTGTTGTGTGTGTGTTGATGTTGTTGTGTGTATATGTGTGTGTGTACACCATATGAATATTGTATGCAGATATATATATAGAATATAGATGGATGATAGAATATATATGTATGTATATATATATATATATAATATATATATAACATAATATATATATAATACATGTATGTATATATATATATATATATGTATATTATATATGTTATATATATATTATTTATATATATATATATATATATTATATATGTATATATATATGTATATATATATATATATATAGAGGAGAGATTATATATATATAATATGAGGGGGGAGTATATTTAGAGAGGAAGTGTATATTATAATATAGATAATATATATATGTATATATAATATATTATATATAATTAATAATTTATATTAATATATGTTATTCCTGTGCATCAATTATTTACTTGTGTTGAAAGATGGTATATAGCATGTTAGGTTTCAAGGTCGGGTACTGCCGTCCACGAACCGACGAAATGGCCACGCGGGGATAAAGGTCACACAAGGACTATATAAACTCTCGGTCACATGACTCGGAGCATCAGTCGCAAACTAAACTAACAACAAACCAACATGAAATTCGTGGGTTCGTCCTTTTTATTCATTTTACATTAAGCAAGATTTTACATTGTTTCATACTTGTGATCAGTACTGTGCTCTATATTATCGCATGTGCACGAAGTTCAGTTCTTTCTCCTCGGTTTCAGGTGATCCTCGCCTGCGTGGCCGCCGTGGCCGTCGCCGCCCCCCAGTACGCCTACGAGACACCCGCCCGACCTACCTCGCCCCCGCCGCCTCCACCCGCGACGAGTCCGCTGAGATGATCGAGTTCATTCCTATCCTGAGGACGATCGCGTCCACGAGGACGACGGAAGGTACAACCTCGACGTGGAGACTGCCAACGGCATCTCCATGTCCCAGTCCGGCTCTCCCGACGGTCCCGACGGCGCTATCGTCAAGGCAGGACAGTACTCGTAAGTAAATCAACTTCTGAGATAGATTGACACACGCCTTCAATTTTTATGGATTTTCCCCATCAGATGTTAAATCAGCGAATGTAAATTCTAAAATGTAATGGTTAGGTATGTTGAAGACACGTGATCCTGCATCAACTGAAGACGCACGCCCTAGATCACATGATTCTGTGGCAGAACTCATACACAGAAACATAACAGTAGCTATATCACTCTTACCAATAAATGTTCCAGTTACACCGCCCCTGACGGTTCTCTGATCGAGATCAAGTTCGTGGCCAACGAGAACGGATTCCAGCCCCAGGGCGCCCCCCTGCCCGTGGCTCCCGAGTTCCCCCACCCGATCCCTCAGTTCGTCCTCGACCAGATCGCCTTCGCCGCCGAGGAGGACGCCGCCCGTGAACGTGCTGAGGCTCAGGCTTCCGCCCCCGCGCCCACCACGCTCTACGGCCAGCCTCAGTAGACCGATGGCTGAAATCTGTGATATTTATAATATTTATGAGATTGATTAAACGACGCTATGCTGAAACGAATAAAAGAATTTCGATAATTTCCTGTTTCTCTTTGGCACTTTCTTCTGTCATTCAGGTACTCCATACATTTCCCTCAAGCTCGTAAACCTATGCGGTACAAATTGAACGTACATCAAGCAGACACACACACACACACACACATACACAACAACACCACACACATATATATATATACACACACACAACATCTATATATAAACACATACAAACACCCACATATATATGTATACACATATATGTATATATTTCTATAAGACACCTTTCACCTGATTTACAATGGAAGGAAACAGAATGAAGTTTGACATGCAATATCGTTTTTATTACATTAATATTGGAGTGAAGCAAGATTTAAAAAAAATTATATTTGCTTTAATGTTTCGAAATTATTATGCATTTCAGTGAAATGTACGCATCGCATCACAAATGACTGAATTTATTCGAAAGTTTTTTGTAATCATTCGCTGACTGCAATAAAGAAAAATAGAGTTATATAATTGATGGTCATCTGACGTCTATAAATAGAAGAAGGCCTTCCTGCTTATTTCATTTCATTATATATATTCTACGGAATAAAAGGAACGTAAATCGTAATTAGATGACTTTACATTAATATATATTAATCTGAACTCATAATTCTGATTAAATTTGAAGTGAATACTGTAGATATCAAAGTAATGGAGGTGGAAAACAGACGCAGCCTTCTTTCGAGAAACTGATGACCGGAACTGAATTAAGTAACTACTCGGCTTAAAGAATATAGTTTATCTACTCTTCAGTAACCGATATTACCAACGAAGATTGTCCTTATTACGAATCAGTAGTAGTTAATGTAAATATTGCCGCTTAAACCACATCTAAAAAAAAAGAAAGAAAAAAAAATAGTACTTCTTAATGTGTCAGCTAGTGAACTAGCGTTCTGGTTATTAAAATATCGGTTTACCTATTTTACTCTCTATCAGTTCAACCATAGACAGGAATTTTACTACGGATCTTGGCATCATTACATACATATAGAAAGACTGGCAAATAGTAAAACAAATAAATGGAGATGTATATATGCAAATATATATGGTTTTGTTTAGGCATTCATACACATATATATATGTGCAACATATATCTGTGTGCATATATGTACGTGAGCGCGCGCGCGCGTGTGTACACAGAAAATTATTTATATAGACGCTTTAAAATACATAGGTAGATAGCGTGTAGATGTGTGTATATAAAGAGTGATCTACATGCATATATACATACCTATATGGATATACATGTATACATGTGTGTATCTATAAGAATATATACATGTACATATTGTATATGTTTATATATATAGAATATACATGTCTATACATATGCACCTATATATATATATATATATATATATATATATATATTATATATATATTATATATATATATATAATATATACATACATATATATATATATATATAATAATACGTATATATACATACATGTGTGTATGTATACACACACACACAGACAGTGATATATATACATGCATACAAATATATATGTATATGCGTTCATACATATATGCATATGTATATGTATATATATATATATATATATATATATATATATATGTATATATATATATAACATATGAATATGTATGCAGATATATACATGTTATATGTAAGGATAGATGGATGAATACTATATGTATATGAATATATATATATATATATATAATATATAATATATATATATATATGTGTGTGTGTGTGTGTGTGTGTGTGTGTGTGTGTGTGTGTGTGTGTGTATGTATCTATCTATCTATCTATCTATCTATATATCTATATATAATATATATATATTATATATATATATATATATAGAGATATATATATATATATATATATATATATATATATATATATATATATATATATATATATATATATATATATATATATATATATATATATATATATATATATATATATATATATATCCCCTGTGCATCCTATACTTACCTTGTGTGAAAGATGGGTATAGCAGTTAGGTTTCAAGGTCGCGTCCAGCCGTCCACAAACCGACGAATGGCCACGCGGGATAAAGGTCACACAAGGACTATATAAACTCTCGGTCACATGACTCGGAGCATCAGTCGCAAACTAAACTACCAACATGAAATTCGTGGGTGTCTCGTCCTTCCATTTATTCATTTTACATTAAGCAAGATTTTACATTGTTTCATACTTGTGATCAGTACTGTGCTCTATATTATCGCATGTGCACGAAGTTCAGTTCTTTCTCCTCGGTTTCAGGTGATCCTCGCCTGCGTGGC